GGGTCCCCGAGGGAGGGACCCCCGAGGGGGACGGGGATCTTCGAGGGGAGGGTTCCCGAGGAAAGGGTTCCCGAGGGAGCGGTCCCCGAGAGGAGGTCCCCGAGCGGGACGGGGATCTCCGAGGGGGGGGTCCCGCGGGAGGGGTCCGAGGGGGGATCTCCGAGGGGGGTCACCGAGGGGGGATCAGGGAAGGGAGGTCCCCGAGGGGGGGTTACCGAGGGGGGATCCCCGAGGGTGGAGAGCATGCTGTGCATGGAACGAAATCAATGCTAAGATGAACGATGAGGCTTTGCTGCCTTTTTGGACTTTGAGCAGCCTGTGATGCCTGCCCACCGGTGCTCACCACCGTCCCGTCTTCAGGGATTCCGCATGCCCTTGTGACGGTGGGGTGGGCAGACGGGCCGCCACCCTCGGCACTGGTCGTACGGGGCCAGGTTCGTGGGAATTTGCCCCCCGCGGCCCCTGTGATGGGAGCTGCGGAGGGCGTGAGGCCTCATGGCGGTCCTCAGTGGTAAGGCCTATGATCTTGCAATGGTCCTCACCGGGGGGGAAGGAGTCCTGAGAAGGGCAGTGAGGGAAACTAAAACCATCGTCCAAACCCAAGCACGAGAGAACCCGGAAACCCACTGTCGAAAGGAGCGCGCGTTCCACAGGCGGGGAGTCACGCTGCGCCCGCCGCCACCTCGTGGCGTCACGCGCCCGTCGAACACCTCACTCCCATTCCCCGGGGCAGCCCTTCGAGAGGCAGCGCACGTCCCACATACGTACACCCCTGCACTCGTGCAGCTACGCCCACTCGCATTGGCAGTCCCAGTCGTGGTCGTCGACGTCGCCGAAGTCGTGGTCCTCGACATCCGTCGTCGGTGCTAGGGTCGTAGGGATGCGCCCCCGAGGGGGGTCCCCGATGGTGGGTCTCCGAGGGGGGGTGTAAGGGGGGTCCCCGAGGGGAGGCTCCCCGAGGGGGTCCCCGAGGGAGGGGGTTCTCCGAGGGGGGGTCCCCGAGGGAGGGGGGGGGGCGAGGGGAAAGGGTGATGCACCACATCATACTTGAATGTCTCGCCCGCCCGACCCGACCCGCCCGCCAGACCCGCGGCCCGCCCATCCGGGCGGCTCGCCTGCCAGGCATGGGAGGACGCACCACAATGCACTTCAATGCCCCGCCCGCCCGACCCGGCCCGCCCGCCACGGGCGCCCGCGTGCCAGGCACAGGAGGATGCACCACAACATGCTTTAATGGTCCGCCCGCCCGACCCGACCCGCGCCGCCTCGGACGCGCTGCCCGCCCGTCGTCAACTGCGTCCTGGGATAAGAACGGTGGGGTTCCTTTCAGGGAGGAGGGTCCCCGAGGGAGGGATCCCCGAGGGGGACGGGGATCTTCGAGGGGAGGGTTCCCGAGGAAAGGGTTCCCGAGGGAGCGGTCCCCGAGAGGAGGTCCCCGAGCGGGACGGGGATCTCCGAGGGGGGGGTCCCGCGGGAGGGGTCCGAGGGGGGATCTCCGAGGGGGGTCACCGAGGGGGGATCAGGGAAGGGAGGTCCCCGAGGGGGGGTTCCCGAGGGGAGGGTCAGGAAGGAACCAGCACCTGTTTGTCACTCAGATGTTGCGTTCTCTCCGCGGGGCGGCGATGCTTGCCATCGAGCAGACCCCCATTTCACATACGGTTCCGCGTGGGCCTGAAGTTTTTGCGGTGGGGGCGTTCCTTAAGGAATGTGCCCAGGGGGGTTCAGAACCTGGAGGACCCCTTATCTGATGAGGTCGGCAGTGATATCCATGGCCAATCCACAGCTGGTCTTCCACCAGCTTCCGGACCCTGGATTCCTGATCCACTGATTCCTTATCCAATGCCATCACCGTAGCTGGACCTGGAACACAAGTGGTGCAAGCGGCTATTGAATTGGAAGCTGTGGTTCAGAACGGACGCCAAACGATCTGTCGGCAGGCAGCGTCTGAGATGGGCGGATTCGTTGAATACGTGAGTCTCCCCCGTGGCCTGTCTCACCAAGATTTGTTTTTCCCGATCGCACCGGCACGGTCTGCCCCGGCTACTGGGGACCGCTCCGGCTACTGGAGCAGGCGCGTTCACTTCCTGTCCTGTCCTGTCCTGTCACCGTAGCTGGAGTGGGAAGGCGGCTGACCAGCCACTGTTCGATGCAGCCTGGCTTCGGGGCGCGAGCAGGGCACCCGCACCCGCCCGCGCGATGGTCTTAATCAATCCATTTCTGGGAGATCTCCCGTCGCAGTCCTCCCCCCCCTCGTCCCCTCAGAGTCCTAGCAAGGAGGACTGGCGCGGTCGGGCCTGGGATCGAGGGATCCCCACCAGGTCAGCAGCAGCAGGAGCAGCAGCAGCAGCAATCACCATCATCAGCAGCAGCATTAGCATCATCATCATCATCATCATCATCATCATCATCATCATCATCATCATCATCATCATCATCATCATCATCATCAGATCTACAGCGCCTACAGCGGATAATCGCCGCCCCATGCCGTTCGGAAGCGCCCATGCGGCCAAACGTTGGGCCGAAGTCTGGCCAAGCTTTTGGAGCATGTGTCCCCCCAGCCATTGTGGAACCCCTTGGGGGAACACTCGGGAGAGGAGAAAAAAGGAGGAGGAGAAGGAGGAGGGGGGGAGAAGAAGGAGGAGGAGAAGGAGGAGGAGGAGCAGGAGGGAGAGGAGGCCTCTTGAGGCCCGCTTGAGGCCTCCTTGTGGGTCGTTGTGCGTCCTTCCAGGTGGCCGCGGGATCGGCCGAAGGCCCATTGGAAACTTCAAAAATGACTAATAGTTGAACGTTTGGCACGCCGTGCATCCTTGTGGCAAGGGCAGGGGGCTGCGATCTAGTTGCCTTCGGCCCATCACGCCATCGTGCCTGGGTTGTCACGCAGAGGCCCCTTGGATGCGTGCGAGGATCTATTGGGAGACCTCTCAGAAGCCTCTTGGAAGCGGCTTTGGGAGTGTTTTGGGGCGTCTCGGGGGCCTGTTGGGGGCCACTCGGGGGCCTGGTTTGGGCGTCTCGGTGCATCTCGGGATTATATTGGGGCAGAGGGCTCAACTTGTCACGTCGCGTTCCCCCTCTTGAGCCCCTCCTGGGGCTGTCTTGGGGGCCTCTTGGGCCCCTCTTGGGTGGCTGCTGGGCCGTTGTTGGGCGATCTTGGGCGTATCTTGAGCCGTCTTGGACGCGGTGATGCTCAAACCATGCAAGGACCATGGATTTTGGCGATTTGGGCCTCGTGGGCCGCCCTCCAGTGCCTCCCAGACGGCCCAAGAGGCGCCCAAGAGGGCTCTGGGACCGTCCTTCCCAAAGAGCTTGTCGACTTGTAGCCAATCGACTTGTGGGGGTCGAGCCACATAAATCCAGGTAAATACAGCTGAATCAAAGTAAATCCACGTAAATCGAGATAAATCCGGGTGAATCAAGGTAAAGCCAGAGATCTCCAGGGAAAGTTGGAGCAACTCGCGGCCGCTCCAGCGCGAGTCGAAGGACGGCAGAAGTCGTTTAGCCTTTAAGGAGTCCTCGGGACCATTGTAGGCCACGTTGGACATGCACGTCCCAAGCAACGCGCTCTCTCGGCCTCTGGAAAAATCACCCAGGGAACCCCGGGCAGCGCCGAAGAGTGCATAGGAGCGCCCGGAGCTCCAGGCGGTGGGACCTTTTCCAGGTTGTTTTCCAATATTGAATACTGAGAGATCGCAGGGACATGAGGTCACTCCACTTCGTGCCTCGAAGCACGGTGGCCGCTATACTGTAAACGGGGTACCGCAAAATCTTGACTTAACAAAACAATGGTTTTACAAAATCCCGCGCCACTGCGCAAAAGTACCGCAAAGTCCAGAACCCAGTATCGCGTCGCCGCGAAGCTTTCGGAACGCCGATGACGGACTACCGCCGACCCTCTCATCATCGCCGACATTTGCCATCATCTTTCTTGTGGTTCCAGTGCTATGTGTTCCCAGTTCGGAGAATACGATTAATGTTTTGCGTCGGGCATCGTCGCAGAGAACAAAGTTCGTGCCAGTTCCGATGCGTTGCCGGATGGACTCGGAAGGATCTTCCAGTGTTCTGCGTTGACAAGGGCGCGCGCTGTCGCCATGTCGTTGCCACGTCCGCATCCATGCTGGCTCCGACGAGGCAGGCGCCACTGAGGTTCGCTCGGAAGCAGAGGCGCGATCAAGCCCAAAGTGCGCCGGCTCGAGCCAATGACAACGGAACCCAGATGTCCAATGCTTTCGAATTCCCATCGGAGGGCCAAACATCGAAAGCAGAAACCTTCACAGATCTGATTCAGACAGGGTGTAGTTCAATATGCGATTTGTCTGCGCGTTTTGTCGTGAAGATGATCTGCCCTCGTCGCGAGGTGGCAGTGGTGTTTGCCATCGAGCGGACCTTCCTCCCAAATTCTACGACTCGGCGTGGGCCTGCGAATTTCGAGCTGGAGTAGAATAGGAAAGCGGACGGGGGACGGCCCAAAAGCGCGAAAAGAGGGCTCTACGACGACCCCAATTGACTCCCAAGCGGCCTAGAGGGGTCTCAAAGGACCGATGAGAGCCACAAGACGACCCCAAGAGGGCTCCCAAGGGCTCGCAAGCGGTATGAATCAGTGACATGTTTTTTGTTGTTGATCGAGTTTCTCGATGATGTCTTTTCCGTATGAATTAGGAGCGTCCCAAAACAATTCCAAGTCGGCACAAGAGGGCATTTTAGAGCTCAGCTACAGAATGGCCTACGAAAGCGCCACGACGGCCCCAGAGAGTCTCAGACCGCTTCCAAAACAGGCCCAAGAGAGTTCCCCGAAGAGCTCCAAGACAACCCGTGGACGGCGGACTAAGAGAGCCCGAAGGTTTTCCAGAGACCCCAGAGACCCCCACGAGGGTTCCCTGATCGGGGCCCAAGATTCGAGTAGGGGATCGTCGACGGAATTGATATACCCCATATAGAACGCAGTAGTTATTCGAAAGATTAACGTCTTATTCGCCGCCCACTCGACGAACGGTTTAGTTTGAGGGTAAGCCAATGTTGCAGTTGATCTCCAACTCGAGCGACGGCCCAAGAGAGCTCCCAAGAAACTCGTAGTCATTTGGGCTCAGGACGTCCTGGCCCAGGCCGTCGCCCAGGGAGCTCGCCCTGACCGCGCGCCCGTGCTCCGCCTGGCTCCCGCGGGAGCGATGGGGCCGCCGCTGTCCTGGACGACGCCGCCCGGCACACCGCGCGCCCGCGCCCGAGTGCCGGACTCGCCGCCGCCCCTGCTCCGCCCGAGCAGGGTGCCCTTCCGGCCACCACTCGAGCTGCACGGCCCGGGGCGCGCGCGGGGCACCGACGGGGCAGCTCTCCGCGCCCCCGACCGCGCGGGCCGCGGCCACGACGCCGCCAGGTCGCCGACCGAGACCGGCGCGGAGCGCGGCGCGACGGGCGCCGAGGGGCAGCCCGCGCACCGCCGGGTGAGCTCGGCAGGGGGAGCGGAGATCTTCAGCGCCCCCCCCGTCGAGCTTCGCGGGATGCCCGGCTTCGCCGATTGGACGGAGTGGCTGCGCTGGTCCACCGCGCAGTTCGAGCTGGGCGTGGCCCCGCCACCGCCTTGGGAACTGCAGGGCACGCCACGGCGCTGGTGACCGCGCGGGCGCGGATCATCGGAGACGCGCCGCGGCGAGCTCGGCAGGGAAGGTCGTTGGAGCCTGTGGGGTTGTCCGAAGGTGTGGGCAGACCTGTCCCCTTGGTCTGGCAGACGCTTCTGAAAGTGACCCCCCACCTCCTTGCACTCCTGATCCCCCTCCTCCGTCACCCTACTCATCCATCCTCCTCGTTCCCCATTGTTTTTTGCCAGCCCAGGCGACTCGCGTGTTGCCTCTGCTGCTAGGTCCGTCGCGATTCGTGTTGCGCTCACGGGCTCTGTATGTTAATGACGTGTGGGCGCCCCCCACGCGAGCACAGCTCGGTTGAACAGGTCTCTGCTTGCTCGTGCGATTTGCCGCGCTCCCTGTACTGGGCGTGCGCGACCAGATTTCTCTTCCTTCCCTCGTACTGCCTCTCACCATGCATTCCTTCATTACCCACCCACACCATCATCGTCATCATGACCACCCGCCCTCTTCATTCTCTACTGATGTTTTGTAGACAGAATGCATGCCGGACGACTCGAATTGAGGCTCTGCCGCTAGATCCTTCGGAATCGCTCCTGCGGGCCCTGTAGATACTTCAGTGGCGTGTTTGAACAACGCTCACGCGAGCGCAGCTCGGATGCTACAGGTCCTGAGCATGCTCGTGTAGCCAGTGCCAAATGACCGCGACCCCTAGATTGAGGCGTACGCGACCAGACTAATTGTACCTCCCTCGTAGTGGCTCTCACCTTGAATTCCCTCAGTGCACGCTCTCTTGCACGTCGTCGCAGGCCTAGCATTGGTCCGTCAGACGCGCCCGAAGAGGACCGCCCGCCTCATCCTCTGTCCTTTGTCCTTATAGCTCCAACCTGTCGCACCCCTGCAGGCGTGTCTGTAGGGCGGGCCGCGCGTTTCGTTTGAGAGTGTTTCACCAAGGGTGATCCTGAAGCCTGAAATTTGCAACAACTCCACGGATGGAGGGCGGGACACTTTAAAGATGGGGTTCTCGCTGTAGCGCCGCGCACAGTCGTCTTACAAGCTTGCAACTGGTTCAAGGATGGAGGGGGTCGTTTCCAAAATGTGGCTCTCGCCTTAGTTACGCGCACAGTTGCTGCACATGTTCGCAATCGTGTCACTGATGGAGGGCGGTCCCTTTTTCAAAATGTGATTGTCGCCACAGCGCCACGCACATTCGCTTCAGAAATGTGCAGGAGTTGCGCTGATGCAGGAGGCGGCGTTTTAAACATGGCGTCCTCGCTTGGAAACCACGTGCAATATTCGTCTGAGTTTTGCAGCAGGCTTGAGGATGGAGCACAGGTCGTTTTCAAGCGTGTTCAACATGAGGCTCTTGCTGCAGCGTTGCGCAATGATGTTTTTAAAATATTGCAGCAGGTAGAATCGAGGGAGGAAAACCACCCGGACCCGACAATTGGCGTTTACTAAACGGCCTTGGGCGTTTACTATCCGACCTGCCTTGTTCGATTCCTTCAGTGGGGACATGTAGTAAACGGCTTCGCGTGCCGGGGTGATTGTTATGGGGGTGGATTTTTGGCCATCTAAGAAGGACATTGGGCTTTCGCTTGGGATACCCCTCTTGGCCTGCGAGACCGGACACCTCAACACATGCAGCACTGCACGGATCGAGGGCGGCTCCGTTTCAAATTGGAGCTCTCTCTTGAGATTCAGAGGCAGGGCGAAGGCTGGCAAACCCGTGGCTGCTAAAACGAAGCTCCAGGATATTGTTTTTGTTCTCTTCCGGGAAGCAGCCCGTTTACGATTTAGTGCGCTGAGCTTGGTTCCGAGAACTTGTTTTTTTCCTTCCGGGAAGGCCGTTTTAGCAGCCGCGGATGTGCCAGCCCTCGCCCACCTTCCAGGAGACATAGTCGAAGCTCACGACCACAAAAGTGGCATGCGCATGCAACAGTTACACGGATGGGGGGAGGCGTTCTTCGAAAGGGGGATCTCCTTGGACACAAAATTGAACCGTACGGTCACAGAATGTTGTCGCATCCCTGCTTACGCGCCAGGAGACTGCAAGGCAGATTCTCTTCAGAACGGGGCCTTCGCCAAAATGGCGGGCCCGCATGGCGCTGGTCCTTCAAAGTGGGCGCTTCTTGCAGAGAAATGTAAATATTGCAGGGACGCGTGAGGGGGGGACTTGGGACGGGACGGTGTAGTGCAGCATCGCTGGTGCATCTTGGATTTAATGTCCTCCTCATGGTCTTCCTCCTGCTCACCCCCCCACCCCGCTCCCTGTCCCTCCTCAGCCATCCCCTTCACCCTCCGATGTTGCGTGTGCGACTGCATCCCAGGCACCTCGCATTGTGCCTCTGCTGCCGGGCCCGTCGGAATCCATCGCTCGCGCGGCCTCTGTATGTTAATGATATGTGCCCGCCTTTGCGGGCGCAGCTCGGGCGTTACAAGTGCTGTGTGTGCGCACACGGCCTTGGGCGTTTACTATCCGACCTGCCTTGTTCGATTCCTTCAGTGGGGACATGTAGTAAACGGCTTCGCGTGCCGGGGTGATTGTTATGGGGGTGGATTTCTGGCCATCTAAGAAGGACATTGGGCTTTCGCTTGGGGTACCCCTCTTGGCCTGCGAGACCGGACACCTCAACACATGCAGCACTGCACGGATCGAGGGCGGCTCCGTTTCAAATTGGAGCTCTCTCTTGAGATTCAGAGGCAGGGCGAAGGCTGGCAAACCCGTGGCTGCTAAAACGAAGCTCCAGGATATTGTTTTTTTCTCTTCCGGGAAGCAGCCCGTTTACGATTTAGTGCGCTGAGCTTGGTTCCGAGAACTTGTTTCTCCCAACCATCCTGTGGTGTTAGGTCCTCGTTTTGAAGAGACGGTGCCCCGCGTTCCTCTCCTCCTTCCTCCTCCCCCTCCTCCCTCCTCCCCCTCCTCTTCTCTCTTCCGTCAGAATGATCATCTGCAGCATCATCCTCATCCACATCCTCATCCTCATCATCGTCTTCATCATCGTCCCCACCGCCCATGTCGTCACACCCCTCACACGTTTCGTGGCCCCATAGGGAGCTCCACCGAAGGTCCCACTGGGGGCGTTCGCATGCGTCTCCCCCACCCAGGACAGCGTTTCGTGGCCCCATAGGGAGCTCCACTGAAGGTCCCAACAGGGGTGTTCGCATGCGTCTCCCCCACGCAGGACAGCGTTTCGTGGCCCCATACATAGGGAGCTCCACCGAAGGTCCCAGTAGGGGTGTTCGCATGCGTCTCCCCCACCCAGGACAGCGTTTCGTGGCCCCATAGGGAGCTCCACCGAAGGTCCCACTGGGGGTGTTCGCATGCGTCTCCCCCACCCAGGACAGCGTTTCGTGGCCCCATAGCCCCAAGGCCCAAGTGGGGGTGTTCGCATGCGTCTCCCCCACCCAGGACACTGTTTCGTGGCCCCGTAGGGAGCTCCACCGAAGGTCCCAATAGGGGTGTTCGCATGCGTCTCCCCCACGCAGGACAGCGTTTCGTGGCCCCATAGGGAGCTCCACCGAAGGTCCCAATAGGGGTGTTCGCATGCGTCTCCCCCACCCAGGACAGCGTTTCGTGGCCCCATCGGGAGCTGCACCGAAGGTCCCAATAGGGGTGTTCGCATGCGTCTCCCCCACGCAGGACAGCGTTTCGTGGCCCCATAGGGAGCTCCACCGAAGGCCCAAGTGGGGGTGTTCGCATGCGTCTCCCCCACCCAGGACAGCGTTTCGTGGCCCCATAGGGAGCTCCACCTAAGGTCCCAGTAGGGGTGTTCGCATGCGTCTCCCCCACCCAGGACAACGCTTTCGTGGCCCCATGGGGAGCTCCACCGAAGGTCCCACTGGGGGTGTCATTTCGGCACACCCCTCACACGCTTCGTGGCTCCATAGGGAGCTCCACCGAAGGCCCCAGTGCCCGCGGCCGCATGCGTCCCCCACACCCATTTCGGCACACCCCTCACACGTTTCGTGGCTCCATAGGGAGCTCCACCGAAGGCCCCAGTGCCCGCGGCCGCATGCGTCCCCCACACCCATTTCGGCACACCCCTCACACGTTTCGTGGCTCCATAGGGAGCTCCACCGAAGGCCCCAGTGCCCGCGGCCGCATGCGTCCCCCACACCCATTTCGGCACACCCCTCACACGTTTCGTGGCTCCATAGGGAGCTCCACCGAAGGCCCCAGTGCCCGCGGCCGCATGCGTCCCCACACCCATTTCGGCACACCCCTCACACGTTTCGTGGCTCCATAGGGAGCTCCACCGAAGGCCTCAACGTGGGCATCATAGCACTCCACCGAAGGCCTCAGTGCCGCCGCCCGCATGCGTCACCCCCACCCATTTCGGCACACCCCCCGCATTTCTCGCACGGCAGGGTCATCACCACGGTGGCGTGCCAGGGGCGCACCATGCGCGAAGGCGACGGGGCGGGGGAACGGCGCTCCGGGGGCGGCCAGACCTCCGGGGCGCGAGCAGTCCGCGGCCAGACCATCTCTCGGTCCTGTGGACTCTCGCCCTGGGCCGTCGGCTGCCCGGCGCGCTGCTCCCTCGGTCGACGTCGCCCAGGCGTGATCCTGGATTGCGGCCGCCACGAGGTAGGGAACGGCAAGAAGGAGGACGACGACTGGTGGCTGGAGCTCTACGTGCTGCTCTCGCGCGCCACGCGCCACGAGGACCTCCTGCTCATGCGGGCGCCGCGCATCGAGTTCTTCCTGGCAGGGCCGCCGCAGGGCTTGCGGAAGCAGCTGGAGCAGTTTGCGGCGCGCACGAAGCGGCGCAGGAGGGAAGCGACGGCCCTCGCCAGGGAGCTCGGCTTCACCGAGTTCATCCGCGAGGCCTGACCTGAGGAGCGTCTCCCCCGAGCCGCGCCTTCTCTCGACTGCCCGACTAATTGTTTGGCCTCGCGCCGCGGACAACCCGCGCGCGTCGCTGGGACCGTCTCGGGGCGACCAGCGCGCGTCGCGGGAACTCCGTGCTGCGGGGGGCCCGGCGCCTCGTTCGCCCGTCGTCGCTCTGCCCAGCGGTCAGAGACTTGCCCGCTATCAGCCAGCCAGTTAGCTAGTCAGCTCTCTCTGCTTCGCGCAGCGGACGACCCGCGCGCGTCGCTGGGACCCCGCCCGGGGCGACCAGCGCGCGTCGCGGGGACTCCGCGCTGCGCTGCGCCCGCAGCCTTGGATTTTGGAGTGCGCGGGCAAAGAGGAAGGAAAAGAAGAGCCGAAAGCGGGCGCGATCCTCGCAAGAGGCGTGCCGACATGGGCGTCGCGACGTGCGGACGCTGCCGTCGGGGTTCCCGCGGAAGCTGCCTGCGGCGGCCACGCCGAGTGTCACGTGTGTTCGGACAGGCATGCTCGACACTTACACTAGGCGGTTCCATGATCGCATTCATGCAAATATATTCACTCGCGCGCAGACCCATTCATACTCAGATTCCCTCGCGCTCTGACTCACCCGCGTTCTTTCTC